CTATTTTGCTGTATATTGTCCTTAATTAGTTATATTAACATTACACATAACATAACAATATCGACTCCTGTCACCGAAATTATTTATAAATAGGTTTTTTTTATTGTTATTAAATTAAATGTTATAAGCTATATAATTAAATTATTTTTAATGTAACACATCTAATCATCAAATCCTTGTCTCGCACGGTGCAACTGGAGGCAAGATAATACTTGATTTTTGTGCACGCTTGTGCTGGCTTACGATGCTATGGCCGGCGTCGTAACAGTAAATGGTCTCAAGAAATCGCGGCAGTTGCTGCAGGCAATTGGCTTCGTGCTTGGTGCGAGCTGTCGCCGCGATCCATGATGCCCCGAAAATTTTTTGTTACTCCACTTATATGCATGCATATTCTTGCTTAAATTCAAGATGATTGTCGGTCACGTTTCAAAATTATTTTCTGAGTAACATTAAGAAAAACCTTAAGGGTTTACGCAAGAGAGTGAAGCGTTAGTGATGAAATGAATGAAGCGTTAGTGCTGAGTTTAAAGAATTATTCGTGGTGAAGTGAATGAAGCGTTACTGCTGAGTTCAACGAATCATTAGCGCTGAAGTGAATGAACCGTTACTGCTGAAGTGTATGAAGCGTTAGTGCTGAGGTGAGTGAAGCGTTAGTGCAGAAGTGAATGAACCGTTACTGCTGAAGTGTATGAAGCGTTAGTGCTGAGGTGANGAAGCCGTTCAAACAAACTCCAAGATATGAGATTTCAATGATCAACACTACGGCTTTTTTTTCACAAATTTGCAGGTTACATGAACCAGCGCAAACCTGATATAAGATACTTTGAATCAGATGGAAATATGATCAAATGGCAATGGAGCAGGTGTGGAGCATGTTCTGAAGAAGTAATATCCTTCTTTTTCAACATTTGTGCGCCATGACACACAAAAATTACTGCATCAAACCGAATCAGTATTTATGTGAATATATCGAGCACAATTTTTTATTTGCTGCTTTCTCCTCTTCAATTAAATTGTAATCTTTGTTGCAAAATAATTCATCGACATCGAAGTGTAAAAGGAAAAACGGTTAAGCTTGATCACGTTCCGCAGATATCATCTATCCATGTGCACTAACCCTCATACTATATAAAGGCTAGACTATAATACTTCAGCCATAACAGTTTTAAACAGTGTGTGCCAGTTTAATTTATTAAGGAGACAGACGGAGGTTGACCTTGACCTCCTGGTCTCATGACCTTGACAATGCAGGGAAATTGTTGAATGATCATAACTGGGGACAAATATTCACTTAAAATATACAAAAGTTGGGTACGTCAATCTAAACTACAAAAGTCTGCGTCTTCCAACATTCTCTCTGACGCAAAAATGTGCATCACAATATATTCTCGCACCTGAATAAATCTGAGCATCTCATCTCTTATATCTGATTGTGCATTTAAGAAAAAAAATCATGATCATACCTACATAGAGCTACTTAGTGATTTCGCGGAAATTATTCAAGATCCTAGGCGCGTTTCCTTTAAGATCTGGGTTTGATATATGCGAACGTATAACTTCACAAAAATCAAATTACTCCGGAGTCATACTTTTATTTTCACAATTTATCGCTTCCATGGAAGATCGTAATTGTATCGCGCAGAGAGCAGCTTAATTAAACATCGACATTCTTATTAGATCTTAGTTTCACAAATGACTTTACTTTCGTAAGACGATCTTACTTAAAGGAAAGCGCATCGGGATATAGGAAGTGATGTGAGTTAATCCAAATATTTTTTTAGATGTAGTCGATTTGATACGGGGATAAGACAGTCAAGTAATGGGAAAACAATGTAATAGTGGAAACAGTCTCCGAGCATACTAGCTAGAAAACCCCCAAAAAATTTCACTGGAATAAAATTTAATTGATAAATCTTACCTTATGAAAATTCCATGAAATGTTCACTGAATCCAACCACTGGGGAATACATATGGTAAACCCGGACAGATGTATGGGATCAGAATACCTTAATAATATCGATACTAACATTATTTTTAGGCTAATAATATAATAATATTAATATCATAAAAATACCAGACAATACGCCAGGCAAAGTCCCACTTATAACTAAGCTCGGGAGATCCAATCAAACTCCGATGAACCTTCCACGACGATTGATGAAAAAATATATTTAAGAATATTTAAGAATTATATTTGCGCGATTCCAGTCATCTTAGTCATGAAGAACAGATATAAAATGGTTTAAAAACTATAGCCTTTTGTCCTTACGAACGCACGAGCATAAAAAGTAAACGAGAAATTCGAGGAACACGACTGAAAGTAACCAACGAATTTCTCCACGTGATTTAAAATTAACGAATTTTAACGAATTTAATCTCACTCTCTTGAAACGCGTGTGTTCAGGCCGTTATATCCCTGTATCTATATGGGGCATCGTTGATTTCGGTCAGCGTTGCGTTCACTTTATTCAAGAAAAATTAAAAAAAAAATACTTTTTTTCGGCTATACGGGGATTAAATGAGTCTACTGTGCCGCGTGAAGCGGTCGCATTTAAAAATAAAATTAGTGTGGTTGATGTAAAAATTTTAAAAATTAAATTTTTATTTTGATGTAAAAGTTTTTCCAATTTGTTAACAATTTTCATTTTATCATTATAAAACCTCTCTGAATATTTTCAATATGCGTATTGTAATTATTGTATTACGAATGTAATTTATACATTAAATAATAATTCGTGTGCCGAAGTAATTTCATAATTTACATATATTATTAATAGCAGGCGTTTTCTGGTAGGGACCTTGCGAATTTAAGTGTTCAGCGCATATATGTGTAATAACTAATCATTTTTATCGCACTCAATGAAGAATATCAGTCTTGTCCGATCGTTTATTTAACATGGCTGCTTTTTTAACATTGCATTGTCAAAATGTTTCCTATGGCAATTAACCAAGGTATAAGAAGACTTTAATATAGCCATGAATTACATAAATTAAAAGCTTTTTTTAAACGAAAATATAACCGTAACTAACTTCTTATCTTAAAACATTGTTTAATTCTGAACAAATTTTTGATCTCATCAGAATATTGTGTTACGCTTTCTTTTCCACTAAAATCGAGCAAGAATACTTATGACAAAACTTCTAATTAATTAACATCGTCTAATTATAATAACTTAATTAAAATTATTCCCATGTTATAACGGAATTCGAACGCAGCGTGCTTGTCAGCCGCAACGTTTTGCAAGATCAGCCCGCTGATACAGTGGCGTCAGACGCACCCGCAGCTATAACTCCTTCCCTCACCGCGTCACAAGCGACACTGAGACTCTCTCGTCTCATCCTCCGACTGTATACCGTCAGCCAGTGACGCTTGTCCGTCTCAAATGTCAAGCCACTGTATGAAGCTTTCACGCATGATTCTCAGAATAACTAACGAAATTTTTACTGACTCAGCCAATGACTAGCAGCGATGAAAACTTAATCTACCAATCAAAAGCTCTGAAACTCTGAGATTACATTAAAGCGGAAGAATAATTCTCTAAGGATTTCGCGAGCTTTTGATGTTGCATCAATAATTACTAATTAGCAAATTGAAAACATCTTTTTGTGGTATTTGATGCATAAAAAAATTCCTGGGCTAATCGGCCACTCTAACGTCGGTTATTACAACACTTCTCTTTATGTTCATATATTGTTGTTTGATTGTTTGTTTTCTGCTACAAATCGTATAATCGATATTTAACACACTTATACCTCTCCAATCGATCTGAAATTTTACTCACTTGCGTGAAGTGGGAGACATTGCATGAATCAATTGACAGAAAAAAATAATTTTTAAAATTTGAATGTTTTTTATATATTAAAAATGGAAAAAAATATTTTTTTTTTTAATTTTTAAAAATAAAATTATTAAGTCATTGTACATGTGTAACATCAGAAACACTGGATTGTTTAGAAGTGTTGTCTGTAAAAAGTAAATTTTTAAACGCATATTATTTTTACCATGAACTGACGCTGCCACCTTACTAGAGTGATTTAATATAACCCTCACCCTACACTCTCTCCAAACACACATTATTGAGGGATATGATAGTTCAATATGGGATACGGGGGATATAAGTTGCTGCTGCTCCCTGGGCATGTTCTACGGCGCTCGTTCTAAGGTCGCCCTGGCACGAGTGATGGACTGTTGCTCAGTCCAACATCACTGTGACTGACTATATAAGGACTGTGACTGGCTGACTCACAGTTATGTACTGTGACTGACTATTTAAGTACTGTGACTGACTGACACAGTTATGGACTGTGATTGACTAGTTAAGGACTGTGCCTGACTGACTCACAGCTAGTTGTGGACTGCGACCGAGTGCGACGGACTGACTATTTAAGGACTGTGACAGACTGACTCACAGTTATGGATAGTGACTGCATGACTATATAAATGCTCTTGTTCTATTATTTCTGCGATGAAAGTGCTAGGAAAGTACGAGTCATACGACAATTTTCTGTTTTTCCATAATAGACAATAACACAAGCTTTCACAAATACAATGCAGATGTTTTTAGGTCATCCGTCGCACCAGTTATTCTCTTCGGTCAATTGCAAACCGATGGGGATAGGAATAACGTTATTTTTTGTTATATCAAAAGACAGGAATAAATTATGATATCAAATAAATAAATTATGAATAAATAAATTTGATGTTATATCAAAAGACAGGAATAAATTATGTGTTCTGAATATTAATAGCATACATGAAAACGGGGTTCAAACATTGATTACGTTATGATTGAAATTAGTAGTGATATTTCCTCAATCGAAACGACAGAAAAACAGAAAGAATCGACGTTGTCTTGAGTTGAATTCACCCATGATGTAGTTCAACTATCATGGCAACGATTACCGCTTTTCTTTCGTTGTTTAATAAATTTTGTTCATTAGTCTTGTGAGGAAAAACTGGGCGCGTCTGCAAACATGTAAGCTAGGAAGATCAAAAGTTCTGTGCTTACCTGGGCTCGAACCAGGGACCTTCTGTGTGTTAGACAGACGTGATAACCACTACACCATAAGCACTTGTTTAAAGCTGAATTATATTTACACTCAAAGCATACATGCAAATATTTATTCAGACAACACCCGACTATTTGCTTAATAGCTGTAGCTCATTACTGGTATTCACGTTGAATATTACCGTTTTCTAAACAAAGCGCAAAGTTATTTAACATGAATTTGATTTATTATCTGTATTTTTTCAATAAAATGTTGTATATCAAGATTTTTCTGTACAGTTGCTTTTCTCTGTAGGGATAACTGTGCAATGGTTGCCCAAACTTCAAGTACATCTTGAACTTCTTACAGTCGCGTCTATAGCATCGCTAACTGCTTGCTGCTAACTTTTCTATTAATAATAGAAGTAAAGTATACTATTATTATTAGTAAAAGATGGTGTATTTTTAGCGCATTTTCTCATTTATGGAAAAAATGCACTATTGTGCTTGCCATGTCCGTCCGTCCGTCTGTCCGTCCGTGACTTCACGTTTCCGTCGACGAGAAAATGCGCGCTCTGTCACTCACTGCATTGAGTATTGAGTTATATCTTTTGAACCTATCAATGCAACTACACACAGGTTCTACTCGAGCATGTATCAACAATAATGGCGTGTTGGGATTTCACTTCATAAAGTTAATGAAATTACAAAATTATTTTTAGTTGTGAGATCGTGCAGCATTGCAGAGACATGGTCAATCCAAATATAATTAAAAATATAATCAAAAATATAATTCAGTACTCACGGCAGTGAGTGACAGAGAGCGCATTTTCTCGTCGACAAAAACGTAAAGTCACGGACGGACAGAGAGACAGACGGACGGACGGACGAATATGACGAGCACAATAGCGCATTTTTTTCATAAATGAGAAAATGTGGTAAAAACCGCAATTCAGTTTTTATTTCTGCATGTTCAAGTTATACTGGCAAGCAAATAAATGTTTACGTCTATTTCAGAAAGTTTGAATGCGAAGTGGGAGTTAAATTGAGAAGTTAATTGTTAAATTCATTGTGAAGTTAATGTGCAGTGTGATTAATATTTTTCATCCTAGTCGCTAAACTCTCAAAAAAATTTTATTCGGGTCGATAAGATTCTTTATGACAGAAATCGGAATAGTGGTGTAACGGTCTCCCTGCATGGTGGCTTCATGCACATGAGAGTTAGACCCTCGATCACAAGGCTTAAACCTCACTGCAGCCTTATAGAATAGAATAAAAGTGTCGGCATTGAAGAAATAGGCCCATGGCCTGTTGCCGATTCTTGAATTTTTCGTGACTTGATTCACAAGGGATCCGGCTTTTGGAACCCGATCTTTTCATAACTGACGATTGATTGAGATAGCTGCTGGACTTATTGCCTGGTCCGTAATTTGCTAAGCATTTTAAGACTGAACATATGCTCCTGCATAGCTTCGTCTAGTCTGTTCTAGAAGGCGTTCATACTCGGAGCGTCAACGATGCTATCAGGGAGGCTGTTCCACATGTCGGTGACTCGAAGCGAGAAGAAATGTTGTTAACCAACATTATTCGTTGAGGCGTGGCGCACTAAGATGGGTTAATTAATATCCTTGCTTATATGTTAGGCAGTCATGCAATTCATTCAATATCTTATGTTATACTTTGTATGGATGGAATATCAAGTCAAATTTTTTTTATAGATTTTAATAAGAATTCTTGTTTCGTCTTTAGGAAAGCTCCAGTTCCGATCGTGCTCCGCGACTTCTTCTTTACTTATGTTTTCCTTCTACGCGCGTTCTCAACTAATCTTTGCCTGACAGATATAGGTGTAGAAATTTGAATGTTTAGTTGAATGTCAATAAGTGACGTATTTATCGTCGTATCTATACTATAGAACAGATATGCTGCGACGACTCGCAACCGCAGAATTCTCAAATTCCTGGGAGTATCAGTTATAGTCATTAGCGGGATTGGCTGCTAGTGCTACATGTATAGCCATTGATATGTAGTGGTATATGAATTACAGCTTAAAAAGCGTCAATAATTGAGAAAATATCAATAATTATGGTAAATAAATTAATTATATGTTTGAACTTTCGGTAGGCCGAGAGGTTACGCGTTAAAAAATAATAAGCTGCAAATAGTTACCAGAGATTATATATTTTGAGACAGGAAACGTTTCTGAGAAATAAGATAAAAATTATAACAAAAACTTGTTTGTACCCCGACATTGTTTACGGAACCACCAGCCGTGGACACTGCTTTATTATTTTATTTAACAATAAAGTGTTTTGAAATAAAAAATTTTTGTATTGTTACTAAAAGAAATAATTACCAAAGTCTGATGCCAACTTAAATTCTTTACATCTCTCGTAACAGACAACAATTCTAGGACCTAGGTCAAGTTCATACAAGACGAAAGTCGCATGATTTGGTTTAAGTAAAAATATCTTCTACCGTACCGTTGACTGACTAGTGACTAGTGAGCGCGCTAACCCTTACGCACTAGTGTCGGTAGTTGTGTGGTGTTGATAGACTATCACTATGCCAGCGTTCGTAATTCGTATGCTATATATCGCAATAAACTTAATTTTTTTTCTCTTTGCACCATAAATATTTAATGTATTGTTGAAATTTGTTAAGAAACTCTGAATAAAAAAACAGTGTATAGTTTTATTAAATATTGATAAAGTGAACGAGTAATGTTCTGAAATAATGCGTTAATGACAGGCCGACAAGCGAAAAAACTACGTTGTTCAATAATGATTGTAGAGTTATTTAGTCTCGCATAGAATTTTGAAAACTTTCTTTATTATTCTTGGTAGAAAACTATCATCGTGTTCAATGGTATAACTAATTCCAGACTTTTATCAAGTAATTAGGCCCCACCAATTTTAAGGGTCCGCAAAGGTAAACAAATTCAAACAAATCTACCAATAATGCAAGTTCAGTATTATATAATAGTAATAATTATATATATTGCAAGTCCAGTATATTGTATATAACATTTTTAAATTAAATTTTACTAAACAACCATTAACATTTGAATTATTGTATTGAACCTCTGAGATGATCCGTAGCTGTAAAATGTAAATTGTGGATCATTAATTGACCATTAAATGACAATCTATCATTGTCAGACACTTATTGAAAAAAAAAACAATATTTATGGTGTGTTCGCCAATAAAATTAAAAGTTCAGACAACCATAAAAATGCGACAAGCAGTGGATACGTGATGTCGAAATTCAATTTGGCAAGAATAGACGTGAACTTCTAGTTCGTATCCGTTTATTTTACCCATTCATAAATGATGCAATAAAAAACTACTGCCATAAAATAAGTTATATTTCCTTGCTATTTCTGGATTATTTAAACTTTGGTGATTTTTCAATATTAAGTACAATCATAAATTTGGAGACATAACCATTGGTTTTTCATTGAAATCTTTTGAGTGAAAGTATAAGTCCGCTTGAGTCAATAGTTATTTATATAAAGATTACATATTAATTACCTTAAATAATTATTTCTTTCGTGAAACTCTAGCTTGAAGTTTCTCATTTGCATATATATCGCTCTGATTGCTACAGGTTCTATTATGTGAACGTTGTTGCTGATATTTTACATAAGAAACTTGAATTAAAATACTGTCGAAAAAAATAAATAGGAAAAATTTCCATATTGTAAGCAGCTTGATCACTTCTTTTTGTGTCGCTGTTTATCTAAGCAATTTTGTGTCACATCAGGACTGTTCACTAATTAGAACTGTGTGCAGTCATTCAAGAAAAGATTATTAGATATTATTAATATTATTAAGATTATTAAGATATTATTAAGATTATTAATATTATATGTCTGAAGAATCCCTGGGAAGATCAATACAATTAAAAAATTAATCATTATCGCAAATGTACAAAAGTTGGAAGAAACGCTATTGTGTCCAATCCCGCAATCCGTATATATTTACTTTATTATCAGCACTTATTATCTTAAGATTCTTGCAGCCTAAAAAATAACTGAAATAACTTGGTGCTAAATAAACACATGCAATTCCCATTTCTTCTTGCATAAAGTTTGGTTTGAGAATCAAACGTTTTTGCGAGGAACAAAATTGCCTCACTGCGTCAAACTCAGTCTAGAATAAATAATTGTTCATGTTGAAGCATTGCGGGTGATGCAGTACCGTAGGCTGCGGAACCATTCTTGCCGAACCAAGTACACAAATCCCATTAACGAAAAGTGGAAACTTCAGCAAACGAGAGCATGAAAGACATGAAAATTTGCTTCTTCACTTGCCTCGCACGGCCCCTAAGTGACTCGGATTGCAGGCAGCATGCGGCACTGACCTTGAATGCTGCATCACAATGAAATTTTACTAGCTCGAGAATATAATTATGTTTGCTGTAAATGAGCACGGCGTTACGCATTTTCATTAACTATTGTTTCCAGATCTCGTATGAAACAGTTTTGCCTGTCGAATCAAAGTTTGGCAGTGTTTAATGCTAGAACTCCTACTAATCTGGTAACTAATTTCCAGCTGCGGTGAATAAGTTGCCACATAGCGCCATAGCGTAGGAGTGGAACGTTTAATGTTTTTTGCTGAAGTGGTCAAATTCCGAACCTTCATCAATTTTCAGAATATTGGTAGAATTGATTTAACACAAGATTTTGGTTTATAAGAGTACATAATTTCACATTGAATGGATCAAAAACTAATTTTAACAATACACTGGCAAAAATAAAGTTCATCATACTCAGTCCGCAGTGGATAGTTTTACAGTCACCGTATCGAGGTGGTTCACTGAATTACTGAATTTTATGTATACATGCAGACATGGGAATTTTTTCTTGATAACCTTCATTGTTTGAATTGTTCTTCCTACTCTGTTCTTAGCAAAGAACTAAGAAGGAAGACTGCGCCTGAGCAGAGCGATCATTGAGCAGACGACGTTCGTGAGATCAATAATCGTTTCCTGAGACCGTGTACCATCCCCAGCGGTTTAGTTCAGTTATAACTCGGCTGTGGTGCAAGTTAGGTAAAGCAGAAACGCCGGCGTACATTTAATATT